ATAATGTAAGTTATTTCTCAACGAAGGCCTAATAGGTCAAAATTAGCCTAAAATTTCACCTAGTCTACTGAGTACAAACCACAGAGCAGGTTAACAATGAAGGGCTCCCCATGTAATTTTTTTTGTACGCTATTTTTACAAGCATGAGATCCTACTCATTCAGAATTTTTATTAGCTCACTCTGTGGCCAAGTTGTTCAAGACTTCGTCAGAAGCAGGATCCACATCTGTAGGAGAAAAGTGATGAAGAGTTCATCTAGCAAGGCTTGACAGCAAATGGGAAGGAAGTAGCTGGTGTGAGCATCTACCGGGAATTAAGGAGGGGGATTTTTGCTTTTAATATTAGAGAGCTAGAAATTCATGGCGAGAGAAAGCTGTAACATAGAGGCCAGAGGGTGAACAACATAGAAATTTGGGATTTGGGGAGATAAAAATCCAGATCAGGTGATTAGAGTGAGGATTTGAATAGCTTGGAGAAGGAGAGGTTTTATTATATTATCAACACATTATCATAAATTGACCTTGAAAAGAAAGGACATACATAGGATGGAAAAGTTTGTGCCTAAATAATAACCTTTTAGACAAGCAATAACCTTTTAGAAAACAGCAAGATGCAGACTCCTCATTTCTTTTAGGAATCTCAAGTATTTCTTTTTTCTGCCTCCCATGAAAGCTGTGGTCACATGGCTGACTCTCAGCTGTCAGGAAAGGCCAAAAAATTCTATCAGTCACGGTGGCAGAGAAAATCCTGAAAATTCAAACCCTAAAAACTTAGGAACAGTATAAAAAAATCCCCATCACCACTTACTTTTTATAAAACTAATTATCTGGATGCAGACTGTCTTATAGTTTTAATATAAGAGGTAGTACTAGTGTAAAGCCAGCAGTTGCTTTTTAAGCACTGACAGCAGCTAGAGATCCCCCCCAAAAAAATTTCCAGCTGATCAGCTGATACCATGACCATCATCACCACATAACAAATGGCACCATGAAATTACAGGTAGCACAACCAAAGACGTCACACATTCTTATATTCTGTATCTTACAGCCCCTTCCCCACAGTGCAGAAGCAAATCCAGTGTTGCTTATGAGCACAAGAGTGGCTGCTCCAATAAGAGCATACTCAGAGCTGGGAAAGGCGCAGGCCTCATGCAAGGACACACTAAATCCTTAGTCCCAACAAATAAACCACTACTAAGAAATCTATATTACATGAAGACTTCTGCATGAGGCTTCAGATTCCAAATCAGCTATCCATGTCTAATGCTTTGGGCTATACTGCTAAAAACTGCATAAAGATCAGGATTCTCTTCCCAGTATTTGTCCTAGCCTTACTATTTTTCAGTGCAATCTGACACTAAACTGTGACTCTGATTTTCCTATTTACTATATGCAAGAGCAAACAATAAGAAAGAATCAAGCTGGAATTTTTCCAGGCATATTCAGAATAATTATTCCAAGTAACTCTCCTTATCTTTATCCTTGTGGATTTGAACACATCCTTGAGAAATCTGTCCCTCATTCCATATTCATCAGAATAGAGGACAAAACAGTTAAAACTAGCGTGCTCAAACCAAGTCTATAACCTTGCAGAGACACGTACTCTATGTATAATAATTTACCACTTTCTTATTGATGCTACAACCACCATTCATTCCTAACTTCCACTTTCCCAGTGTAGTACATCAGAAAGAAATGGCAGATTTGCTAGATCGGTCAGAAGTGCTGCTGTAGCTGCCAAAAAATCCTTTGGCTGATTCCACTATTTCATAATCATCTTAAATTTCAGTGCAGAGTCTCATCCAAAAAGCCTTCATGTCTCGGTCCCTACCACAAAAGAGAAAGATCAGAAGACCTGTTATCAACAGCAATATAGAAAGCATCCATATCCATACTTCTGTGCTAATAGTCTCACTTTGAATAAAAGAAACAAAAAGCAATCTTGAGGGATCCCCCTCTCGCTTCTTGCAGTTTTCAGAGCTCTCCAGACATATCACTAAATATTCATAGTTAACGCTGTGAGGATGCATACAGATTAAGAGCCACGTGAACTCTGAATACTCATCAATTTTCAATTTTCAAGGTTTTTCTTACTCTGTTTTGTCATATTGTTTTTTTAGTAACATAAGATGTAAAAAGGAACTGATGATACAGTTGCATTTAAACAAGTTCTTACCTAAAGATCTACTAATTCCTTTCACCAGCATTAATGCCCTCCTGAGAAGCATTGCTGACTCCTAGAATAGCTACATTAGTACCTCAAAAACATCAGCCCATTCAAGACACAGGCTGTAACCTGCTCAACCCAGAACATACCCCAAATCTTTGAATCTGAAATACAAAACCAAGTCCTAGGAATATTACTGAGTTCTGCCTCACCAGAATCACTTTTGAACAGGCACACGTTGTGAAGGACATAACAAAGGAAATAGTTAAGCATCCCACAGACACACAAACCATTTATCAGTCTAAAGATCACATCACCTTCATTTAATCTTTACTGCAAAGCCCTACTTCGCCTTGCTGTTGCCATTCTTTGCCACTCCTGCTGGAGCCACAGTACTATCTGGAACCTGATGAACTGTGAGCCCCACATGCTGTCTATTTGCTGCTTCGTGACCATTGCCTAAAGAAACGTGATTTCAAATTTCATGGTCCTGCAGCTGCCAGGGCAACTTATCCTGCTCGTATTAGGCAAGGGGCACTTCTGACTTGATAAAGAAATGAAATGGGTGAGTAAAGGAGTGCTCTATTTCTCTTTAGCTGCTAAGTACAGGATTTAACCTAATCAACACTTCTCTGGGGTAAGAACCTCATCCTGTGCTGTGGTTTTTGGTGTTTTGCTTTGTGTTATGTTTGGCTTGGTTTTTTTTCAAGCCTGCAGGGTTTCTTTCCCCCTCCCTCTTCATGTATTCAAGATGAGAGAAGCTTCAGTGAGCACAGCTACCAGTACTCCAATTTATTCAGCAGCAACCCCTGTGGACTGCTAACAGCAGAATGCAATTCTGCTTGGATTATAAGGTGTAGATAAGTAATTCCATCCTTAATCTATCACTGTCAGTGCAGACAAGGGAAGGACTTTTACCTAGGAGAAATCAGGCAGAGGAAAAAATATATATAATGTATGGGGCAAAAGGACAGCTGAAATAAAGCAAGGATACAAGTGCATGCAGAAGGAAGCAGGAAAAGAAGAAATGAGACAAAGGACCAGGGTGCTAGAAGAAAAGTAAGGAATGTGATGAAGGATCTAGCCAGGTTCAAAGCAGAAATTCTCAATAGCAATGACAATTCCACTTCTGGCATAATCTATGCCTTCTATTAAACATCCCCAGAGTGAAATGGTAGAGATGTTTGAGACCTTGGTAAATGCTGATGGATAGTACTTTACATTTACATTATAGACATGATCAATAAATCTCAAGTACATCATAACAAAGCCTCAAAGCCTTCACATACAAACCTGTCAGTAAACTGGGACAATATTACAAATAGACAAGGATAATGCAAAGGTTGCACAAATAGAACAGAATCACAGAACAGAAGGGGTTGGAAAGGAACTCTGGAGATCATCTAGTCCAAACCCCCGCTAAAAGTAGGTTCTGTGGAGCACATTGCAGAAGAAAGCTTCCAGGCAGGTTTTTAATATATCCAGAGACGGTTTTAAGTTGAAGGAGGGAAGATTTAGGTTGGCTATCGGGAGGAAGTCCTTCACCAAGAGAGTGGTGAGGTGCTGGAACAGGCTGCCCAAAGAGGCTGTGGATGCCCCGTCCCTGGAGGTGTTCAAGGCCAGGATGGATGGGGCCTTGAGCAGTCTGGTCTAGTATTAGATATGGAGGTTGGCAGCCCTGCATGCAGCTGGGGGGTTGGAGATTCATATCGTTGAGGTCCCTTCCAACCTGAACCATTTTGTGATTCTTTGAGACTCCACAACCTTGCTGAACAGCGTGTTCCAATGCTCTGCAACCCACAAAGTAAAAAAAAAAAACAAAAAAAACCCCACATTCTCATGTTCACACAGAACCTCCCATACTTCAGTTTGTGCAAGCTGCCCCTTGTCCTGTTGTGGAGCATCACTAAAACAGCCTGGCCCCATTCACTTGACTCCCACCCATTAGAGATTTATAAGCACTGATATGATCTCCCCTCAGCCTTGTCTTTTCCAGGCTGAACAGACTCAGGGTTCTCAGCCTGGAAGGCAGAGAGGGACACAACATCAGGAACTGGTATTTATATGATGTTTTTTTTGGAGGAGGCTTGCAGAAGGTTATTCCTCCTAGCTGTAGGACTCTACACTTGTTCCTGTCGAACCTCATCAGGTTCTTTCCTCCCTGCCCAACTCTCAGCTCGTGCAGTTCTCGCTGAATGGCACCACAGCCTTCTGGCGTGTAAACGAAGACGCAATAACACTCCCACCCCCGGCGTCCATTAACGACAACGGACGACTCCGCACCCGACCACCAAGCGCATGAGCAGAGCAGCCCGAGCTCTCCGGCTGCCTGTCAGGCGCATGCGCAGGAAAAGATCCCTCCATGCGTGTGAGCGAGAGCGCTTGTGCCTGGAAGATGCCATTGCTTGGAAAGGAGATAGGTGTAAGACAGAGGCTTTTCTGCCTCACTCTCGCTTGTCTTTTCGCTTCTGAGTGCTTCCAAACTCCTATTCCGTAGACTTTTGCCCACAGCTTTACTATTTTCTACCCTTTTCCAAGTGAGTTAATTTTGGCTACGCGGTACTGTCCCCTGTGCTCTGCCCAATGACAAGTCGGTTCCCCATACGCAGGTAGTTGCTGGGCAGACAACACCCCGCGTAGCCATCCGTCCCACAGAGGCACCGCCTTCCGAGCGCTCTGCCCCGCCTCAGCCACAAGAAGGGCGGGGACCAGAATTTGAGTGACAGGACGCTCTGAGGGCGGGCAAAGACACAGCAGCCAATAGTAATTCTGGCTAGCCTTGACGAGCAGAGCTCACAGCCAACCGGGTTTAGCGTGCCGGAGGAAGGCGGGGCGCCCCGTTGCTAGGGCCGCGCTGTTGCTAGGGCCGCTGCAGAGCGCGGTGGCGGCCGCCGCCGCCTTCCCGACCCGCTACCTCCGCCTCCGCCTTTCTCGGGCCGGGGTGATGGTGAAGCTCTCCGCCAAGTGCCTGCTGGCAGGTGAGTCTGGCTTCCTCAGCGAGGCGGGAGCTCTGGGAGGGCGGGCCCTGCGGCCTGGCAGATCGGCAGGGCGGCATCCCCGGGGGATGGGGCGGTGGTTACCGCCTCCCCTGTTCGCGTGGGAGGGCGTGAAGCGCGGTGCGATCGGCTGGGGAAGGGCAGGGTCCGGAGCGAGTGGGTGTGGGAGGATGGGGGATGAGGGGAAGGGCGAAGAGAGCCTGCTTCACGAAGGCTTCTTTTTCCGCACGTGAACTGGAGGTTAATCTGAGGATGGGGGGGGGGGGAAGTGAGGCGAAGACAGAGCTTTATTCAGTCAGGATGGATTAGAGGTGCTGAGAGCGAATTCAGCCGGCTGTCAATGCTGCGGGAAGGAAAGGCTCACCGTTGAGCCCGTGGTATCAGCCAGGAGCGCAGAACCAGAGCGCCTTGCTGTGCAGACAGCTCTCCGCTTAACTCTTTGCTCCAAATGTGTTTTCTTCCATCCAGAATTAAATCTTCGTGGTTTTGTTTTGTTTTGTTTTTCTTGTTGTTTTTGCTTTCTCCTTGGAAGCAGGTAACTTGTCAGCTTGCACAAAGCCAAGTGCAAGCTTTGGCAAATGCAAAAGAGCGTTTCTCCCTGCTGCCCCCGTTGACAGTTACCATGGACAACATGAATGCTTTAACCATCTTCAAGATTTGCACATCACTTCCCGTTTGGAAGTTTCCAGGTCGCAATATAGGTTTTCTTTAATCAGCCGTCCAGGCTGATTCCATGACACCCCTGAACTCACGCAGGTTTTCTTTGTGTGACTCAGTTATGTTCTTAATCCCTACTGGGTTTGAAGCTGCCCTTTCAGTTCTATTCACAATGCAAACAACAGAAATGCTCTGTTCCGTGTCCGCTTGTAGTGCTCCTAAGTATCAGGATAGTATGTGTATCTTGTTGAAAATAAGGAATTAATGCAGCAGACCAAGCAAAATAACTTCTTTCTTCCAGGAGAGACGACTATAATGAAATAGATGTAAGAGGCGAGAAACCGCAACCTAGAGAGAACAAGAGAATGCAATTACATTGGTAGAAGCAAAAACATCTGAGGTAGATCAAGAAACTCTTGTGTACCTAAGGAAATGATTGTGAAGAATAGAATGGCTGACAGTACTGGGAGCTGCACCGAGGTCAAGAGAACAACAGAGGGGAAAAGACTTTTGTTAGTAGAGGAGAGGCTATTAACTTGACAATAGAAAGCGATTCCTGTGTTATCTCAAGGGTAATTTACAGACACAGACCAAGATTGGAGCTTACTTTGGAGACACCATGAAAGGGTTTTCTTTGTAAAAAAAAGATACTTGTTGGTAGCAGGCATTTTAGAGACATGCAACAGTTTCTGGAAGAATAACAGAAATATGGGTGGAATAAATTCTGTGGGATGCAGTATTTGCAGATGAGACCAGACTAAACGGAAAATGCAAGGAAACTTATTTTGAGAAAGAAGTGCAGTGATGTAATGGGCAAAGAAGAAGAAAAGAGGAGGGGGAAAAAAAAGCTGAGGCTGTCAAATAAAAGAAAGGAACACATTAGGTAAGAATTTGCACTGAGTGTTGAAAATAAAGAAGCCTGTACAGTTTGTAGCAGTGTATGCTTCTCTATCTTATTTTACAAAGACAGACTTAATTATCTATTGAAATACAGAATAGCTTCCACTCAGAACAGAGTGTTGTCTTCAGCACAAGCTTGAACTGATCAGGGAACAAACAAGCTGATTTACCAGATTTTCCTGTCTAAATATTATGAACCCAACTCAGCTCAAAGTAAGCAAGCATGCTAAAAACGTTTAAACAAGAGCTGCTTTGGTTGATGCATCTGGGAGCAATTGTTAGTATCCAAAGTCCTCTTCTCTGAAATATCATGTGAGGAGATAACTTCCCAATCTCCTTCAAAACACCATCTTTGAAGCTCTAATAGGGCAAAATGTCCCCCTTTCTGAGTTTGCTTATTACCAGTAGAGCACAGAAGGTTTGTGTTCTCAGCTTGACTGTCACGAGTGTTCCTTTCAGGACAGAAAAAAGCTAGAACACTGAGATAGTTAATTCCTGGGTTTTGTCCCTTTTGAACTATCCAGGCTGCTGAAAGGATATGTGAAGAGAAGATAAGCTCCCTGAGAACATTAAGTTAAGTCTGTTTTGCAAGGACTGCGATCTGTTTCGTGGAATGATTTGGGCTTACGTGAATTCTGCAGTTCTCTACCGTCCCTTTAGGTCCTGCAGAACATTGTAACAGCAGGCCAAAGGGGCAGATACTTGCCTAAAGTGTTATGCAAGTGACACCAGTATATCTTTGTTCTAGAGAAGCAAAAATGAAAGCCCTTTAGTTTGCTTTCCATACAGGGATGAATCAGCAGGCTTCCTCTCCAGCCAAGTGACATTTGCTTCTCTTATGCCCAGGATGCAACTAATGAGCCACCAGCAGCATTGAGTCAGCAAGAGCTGCTCACTTAGCAGGGTCAGCAAGAAGAGTTCATCGAGGAATGTTACCAGATTAAGCAGCTTTGTAGTATATGGAAGCCCTGCCTCTCCACTAAACTCATAACACTAACAAGGATTTGAATTTGTGGATGTATTTTAAGGAGAGATTTGTGGAAGTATGTATTTTAAGGAGAGAAAAGAGCCTGTGAAGTTCAGTCTCCCTTATCATGTTGTCAGATTCTTTGTAACACCACGCCTGGAAAATGTGAGTTCTTAGGTAAAGGCTATAGGGTAGATTGCTAAACACAAATTCTAAAACAAACAGCAATTCAGCCCTGATGTGGGAACTCTTTGCTGTCATTCACTGATCAAAAACCTGATTTCAGCATCAATATGCATAATAACAATATTTATTTCATTACATGGGTAGTACGTTTCAGATTATTTTGTGATAGTTACCTTGTCTGCATTCAGAGTTGCAGTATTCAACGTCTTGTGGCATAAGATAGGATCAGAACTGAGGGAAAATAAGATTCTTTAACATGAACTTTTTATCTTTGGTTTTGCAGGTGATCCAGCTGTGGGGAAGAGTGCTTTAGCCCAGATGTTCCGCAGTGATGGGGCTCATTTTCAGAAGAACTATACATTGGTAAGTGCAAGTTACACAACAAGCTCAATCTGCTATTCAGCAACTTTTTCTAAGTTACACGAGATAAATAAGAAGCCTTAGAACAAAGTAAATCATATGGTTTGTTGAGGCATTCATGGTGGGTCTTACAGTTTTCTTTGTCCTGCACCTTAGAGTCTGAAGAGAAATGATTTAACGTTCTGTAAGTTTTTACATTATGTGGGTGCTGGTTTTGAAACAGTGGTGAGTAAATTAGTTAATTGTTATAATTTTCCTTCTGAACCAATATTTTCCTGAGCTTTTGTGGTCTGAGAGAGTTCCCCCCCTTAGGAAATACTCTATGGAAAAGCATCACTGAAGGAGAAAGCTCTTAATTCCAACTATTCAGTGTGCATGTGGACGTTGTGCTTATCACTATGCAAACATGAAGATGTTCTGCATAGCCCCAAGATAATTATAATCTGCAGAAACTGTTCCCAGATGAAGAGGATACAGTTTGCAGTCTTTCAGTGAGATAATCAATGGTGATGACTAATCAGAAGCAGGATAAAAATAAAAGTAAATATAAGTAAAGTAAAAAAAGGAAAATATGAGTGCAGGGGACTAAAAAAACCCAACCCTATATTATGTTTATTCATTGAAATAAAGATGGAAACCAGAAGTTAGGGATAGGAATAGAACAAACAAACAAGCTACAAAGCAGAATGAGATAAAAGGTGGAAGAGGCACAAATAACCTCGGTCCCATATGTTAGCTGATCACATGGTTGGTGCAAAATGTTCCCAGACTGCTTTAGAGCAGCAGTGTGACAATGAATGCAGCCCTACAGATTTTAAGTAACACGCTAATATACAAACAGAGCTCTGAACACTGGTACTCTTTTTCCCATTTGAGCAAACCTACACAGCTGTGACACGTAAGGAGGACTATGTTACCAAAGCTGTGAGGAGCACTGCTGAGTTCCCAGCAGTCTGTCTGATGGGATTGTAATGATTTGCAAAAATTGCCTCAATCTGATGCATAGTTGGTATGCAGTTGGGAAGGCTCTTAAAAACTCTTCTGATCCCTCTTTTCCTGATTCTTCTTGACAGACAACGGGCATTGAACTGTTGGTGAAGGCTATATCAGTTCCGGAGACAAGTGATAGTGTGGTGAGTTTTTCTGTGACATAAATTGATCAGAAAGAGACATCTGGAGCTCAAGCCTCCCTTTCCATCTCATTCCATTAGGGGATTGCACTGTATGTTTGTAAGGCCATTAACTTGCAGTAAGGAAGCGAGACTGGTCACGTGCAATTTCTTGTGCTTGCTCTTGTGAAAGGTTAGCTTCATCTTAAAATGTGTTCTACATAGTTGTGTCTAAAAGGACGTCTTAAACCAAAGCTGTCGCAAGCACTTTTTGCTTTCTGTTCTGTCGTTCAGGACAATCAGGTTTAGTTCATGTTGCTTAGAACTACAGAAGATAAAACTGTTCCTCTTCCTTAAATACCCTACACTTCCACTGCTATAGTGTGGACACGTGTGTCATTTTATACAAATAGTGAAAATTAGCTTTTTGCTGTCCCACTCTTCCCAGTGTTCTGTTTCCAGCAGAGGTAGAAACAAGGCCTAGAGCCTTGGAGCTAGTCCTTCTATCATTTATAGATGAAAAAAAATAGCCAGTTCTTTTATCATACTGCCTGAAGATGGGGTATGCACAGTGCCAAGAAGCATGTCTCTCAGGGACACGAGACTGCCGTACTGAACAAAATGCAGGGATGACAAGTTGTGGTATTTACTTTCAAAACCTTCCTTTACATTGCTGTGTTCCTGGCAAGAACCTTCTTTCTGCTTCTGCTTTCAGGAATTCTTCATTTTTGACTCTGCAGGCAAAGATCTATTTTCTGAGATGTTGGAGAAACTGGTAAGTGTTATGTAACAGTCCTCTTCTTCCAAAGGATTGCTTTTGCTTTGAAGATCTGAACTCCTCAGTCTGACAGATATAGCAAACTTTGTCTTTAGTGTAAATGGGAGCATTTACCTCAGTTGCCAATGCTTCCTGTTCTACCTTTCTGAAACTTATAAAAGTGCTAGAACAAAGACTTTTAAGAGGAAGGAAAGCAGATAATCCTTCAGTTTTCTTACAAAAGAACTAGGGATTTTTAACTGAGAGTAACTATGTGCTGTTGGTTAAAGTATTTCTGTTTCTCAGAAGTGCATTGATTTTGCTGCTACTTCAGCAGTGATGTTTTTTGTTTTATAATGATATCTTGATACAACAGGACACGTTTTTGTCCTTGAGCATAACACTGCCATTCACTGTGGTGTTTTTTTTCCTTCAGTCATTCCTGTCTTTTCTGGTACAGTTCTCCATTGTGCTGTCTCACTTGAAAGGTAGAATCGGTTAATTGATATGAAGTTTCCCAAGACAGCTAAGTCAACCTAATACTGCTCTACAAGAGCCAGTTGCACTGTTGCCCTTGCACCAGGTCTGATTTGCAAGGGACCCCTTTGGAAGCTGACTCAGCTTCTCAAACTGGCAGAAAACCTTTCTAATTTTTTTCTCTAGGATTAATTTTGTGCTGATTGAGCATGAAGAATCAGCTTCCCTGGGAATAAGATGAGTGCCAGAGCTGTTACAAATAAAGGAGCAGGACCATAAAGACAGAAATGAAGAAGCAAAGCAAGACTGTATCACTCAGTGCCAGCTATCCATTTAATCAACTCAACAGAGATGTGTAACCTCAGCTCAGGCATAGGTTTCCTGTGTGTTAGGCTTTTTATTTTTATCTTAGCATCTGTGTTTGCCATGCAGATGCGGACTGGCTGTTGACCACATTGGTTTCATTAGAGCTGACAATGTTCCTTTCTTGCTGTGCAGTGGGAGCAACCAAATGTCCTGTGCCTTGTGTATGATGTCACTAATGAGCAATCTTTCAGCAACTGTGCCAAGTGGCTGGAAAAGCTGAGGGCACAAGCAGTTGGAATGCACATCCCAGGTAAGAAATGGATGATATTTTTGCTATCTGCACCCCTCTCATGTGGCAGCAGTTGTTTCTGTTGAGCTGCAGTACAGAGCATTTATTTTAAAGCAGGTGCAGATAAAGACGTGTATATATTTTAGATCATTCCTTAGTGGAAACTTTTTTAGATAGTCATGTTTTGTTATGCCTCACCTCCAACTTTTTCAGGTGCTTCAGCAATGTCCCAGAATTTACTGGTAACAAATCATCATTTCTGAGTTGTATTTCCTTTGTTTCTTTTTCTTTTCTGCAGGTGTCTTAGTGGGGAATAAAACAGATCTGGTTGGTCGTCGAGTTGTGGAACAGAAGCAAGCACAGGAATGGGCTGACAAACATGGCTTGGAATACTGTGAGATGTCTGTAGTGAGTATCTGCTCTTTTCACCATCTATAGCAGTGGGAATTTGTAAAGTTATCTTCTCTTTAGCTGAGGATAAATAACTGGGGGCTCATTTCCACTTATTTGTCCTCTAACTCACCCTCTGTTTTAGTCTGTCTTTTGTGAAGCTGTTTGAGCAGAAATAGTAAAATGCTTATTTCACCTGTCATTTACAATTTTCTTTTTACAGAAGGAGATGAAAAACTTTGAGGCCCCTTTCAACATCCTGGCAAAGTCATTCTACCAACTGTACAAAGAAAAAGTGGAAACCTTTCACTCACTAGCTTGAGGGCCGTGACTGGGATGACTTAACTTCAGAAATTCTTCTAGTGCCCAGAATCCTATGGATTGGAATACAGAGAGAGGAAAAAAGATGAGCTTTTTGCTTCTTCACAGTCATCTTCTGGTAATTCAAAATAAACTAGAAATAAGCGAATGGAAAGACATTATTTTGGAATTGCTACCTTAGCACCTCCTTCGTGTCCTTTACCTCGGTTCTCTGCTCACTGAAAGTCGGTTAGATTGGAAGAGGAAGGAATAAAAGGGGGAGGGCAGAATGGAAATTGCCAGCTTTTTGCCTTGATAATAGTGCCTTATCTCATGTCTGAACAAAATTCCTGCAAGGATGTAGAGATTTGGAGGAGGAGAGAAGAAGCTGACAGCATATTTTTCAGCTTAAGCAACCCAGCACATACATTGCAGGGCAGGACTGATTCAGCCCTACTACTTGCAAAGCATTTTCAGTAGAAAGTCTGTGGCCTGAAACAGACACGTAGTTGGATTGGATTTAGGTGTGTTTCTGGGAACACCCGGAGTTTGAGGCCTATTTTAACTGTGTTATTCGTATCAGTTCTAGGATTGATATAGTGATGGCTAACATCTCTTTGTAATGCCAAGAATTTGGTTTTCTTCAACGGGGTTCTTCCACTGCCCGTCTGTCTTGTACCTGTGCCATTGTCACTTGGTAACGCAGTGCCCTCTGCTGGACCCGGGTCACAAAATTTCTGAAGCAGCTACCTCTGAAGCAAGAAGGACTTTGTACAGTCTCACCCAAATTGGCTTACCTGTAAAATGAAGTCATATGGTGAGAATATGTCTTTTATTCCAGGGACAAGTCTAAAACTGAAATTGCCCTTCCTTCTTCATGCATTTGTTATTTTATTTGTTTCTGTGTCATTTTGCATCTTGTCAGCTAAACTTACAAACATCACGTTCACATCTTCTCATAGGTTTAGCTCTCCATCCCTTACTAGAATCAGTCACCTTTGTTGTTAAACTTTCCCTGCTTATCCTTGAATTTCAAAGTACAAGCTATAATTCTGATTTCAGTTGTGGAAACAGGACTCAGGTTGAAAGACAAACTAGCTAAGTTAATTTAATTCAGCCACGTATAAATTTTGTATCAGAAAGGGTAAAAGCCTGGACAGAACACTGTGTGAGATGTTGACATTGCATATGTAAGAATTGCTAATACTTGCTAATGCAGTATGTGAAAACATCCAGTTATGTACTGCCTTGCAGCTGGACCTAACATTAAAGAGTTCGAAACTGTAGCACTTCTCCTCTTCTAGAACTATTTTGGCCTCTCTTGGGTAAGGGAAGCTAATTTCTGAGGAGAATAAACACTAAGGAGTTTTTCAGGCAAGCTTTTCAGGAATCTGTGTTTCAATACTTTTATACGTGTATTTTATAACCACTTTTATGCCCAGTGCTAGGAATATGACTGCAGATGTTGTAGCAGAGTTTATGAAGCACTTCAAGAAGCTGCAATAGCAGCTGGGCTCATTTCACTGGCAACACTATGTTGATGCTGGGAATTAGCTAGGGAGCATGAACACAAGCTAAAGAGGTTAAGCAGGCCCTGAGCTTGCTGGAAAAGAAAATAAATAGGCTTGTTGTTGTTTTGTTTTGTTTTTCACAAATCCACTTGGGGGGGGGGAAAGACATAGCTGGGAAAGCCTTTATTTGAAGAAAAGGAGGACTCCTCCTTGGGCTTAGGGTCACTAGACACAACTCGCCTTTTTTGGCTTGGGTTACCTTGTTAATCCTGAGGGTGTCTGTTGATTTACATAGGCTGAATGGAAGTTTGCCTGCAGATGCTAGTACCCCTGACTATTAGGAATAAAAGTTGTTTTGGATGTTGAACTGATCTACAGAAGGTAGTTCATTTCCTCCTATTTTTATTGATGATGTGATTGCAACACAAGACTTCTTTTTTTTCATCTTGAAAATAGCCTGCCAGCTGTGCCTGTCCCCTGTGATGTGGTACATGGGGGGAAGGGAGGGGAGTGAATGCCGTAGGAATGGGTGATGAAATGAATCCTGCATGATCTCTAACGGGTGAGTTCAATCTCTCTGTGCCAGAAAGATCTCCCGTAACTTCAAATAAACAGCCTAAATACACCAGTAAGATGAAGATTGGTGAACATTGTTTTATTAAATGAACACAAAAGCTGGAGGATCTCATTAAGGGAGTGCTGGTGGTGATTTGTGATTTATTGGGAAGCTGCTTTTGATAGGTTAGTGAAGAAAAATGCATCCCATGCAGGGAAAGATATATTGCCAGAGAGAGGAAATGTGTAATCTAATTAGCTAGCAGTAGGGATTCACCCACTGCCCCTGTCCTTCATTCTGCAGGCCAAGACTAGAAATAGAAAAGAGGTTGTGTCTAAAGCACATAGCCCACCTTGCTGTTTCCATTACTGTCTCCATCACTCTAATGCATTTTAAAAGCAGAATATATTGTCCTTTCTAGCTAACAGGCTATGTAATAGCAGCATGATGCAGGTGATGCTATTTTCCTAGCTTATTTGTGACCTTAGTTATAGAGACTAATATGAAGGGTGAATGGAGACCATGGGAATCAGATACAACCAGGCTGTGGAAAAGTTTTGTCTATAAAGTGAGGATGCTTGTTTGCTGCTTAGCCTTTGCATCTCCCTGAATTACGGGTGCTGTGGAGGACAGGGGGAGGAAAGCAGAAAGTATGTCTGCTGGCCATTGTTGTCTTCTTACAGCTCCTCTACTTTGTCCAGCTATGCAGTGCTGTAGGTGTTACAAGGATAGATAATGGCAGGACAAGGGGAAATGGTTTTAAGTTAAAGGAGGGAAGATTTAAGTTGGATTTTGGGGAAGTTCTTTACCAAGAAAGTGATGAGGTGCTGGCACAGGCTGCCCAGAGAGGTTGTGGATGAGCAACCCTAGAGGTATTCAAGGACACATTGGATAGGGCCTCGGGCAGCCTGGTCTAGTATTAGATATGGAGGCTGGCAGCCCTGCATGCAGCTGAGGGGTTAGAACTTCATGATCCTTGAGGTCCCTTCCAACCCAGGCCATTCTGTGATTCTGTGATTATATGTGTTCAGCATGCATGCTGACAACACAGAAGAACCCTAATTCAGCCAGAACTGAAATTTCAAAAGACAGGAGAGGAAACAAGCAGGCCTTTAACCAGGCCTTTAACCATCTTTAAGAAGTGTGTAGTCCTTTTTCCTGCTTTTTTTTTTGTTGTTGTTTTTGTTTTGTTTTGTTTTTTTGATTGGGGGAAAAAAACCTGTCTTTTCTCCTCAGAGTTCCTCCTTACCTTTCCTTTGGTCCTCATTTCTCATTTTTTTTACTGGAAAAAAAAAATAAAAAAAGTTTACATAGAAACCTTTTTACACTTGTGCCTAGCTCTGTGTGGTATGGTACATCACCATTTAAAAAAAATTGTTGTTGTTTTATAACTTCTTCATTGGCTATTTCCAAGACTATAAGACACTTTGTCTTAGGGAAATAAATGGATGAACAGAAATGGAATTCTAGTCAAGTTGTCTCTGAAGAGTGAACCTCATAAACTGACTGACATTCTGAAATTTTACTGGAAATTCATTTTTGTAAAGTTGTCTAATGAAGGTTGCTTTCATAGTTTTGTTTTGTCTTGCCAGACATGTTCTACCATGGAGTGAAATGCAGGATATAAAACTCCAGAAAGATCAATCCTTGTTGTAGGATTTAATAAGAACTTCAAAGTTGATCATACAGTGATAATTTCTGTTCAATCTTAACAATGGAATGGTCACTGCTGTTCATAATAAAGCAACACATATACTGAAATGGGGCTGTCAGAACAATTTCTTCTAGAGATCTGTTCATTTTACAGACTTGAAACAAGAAAGGACATCTTTTAGAAAACTGATCTGATAAAGGATACTATTTGGTCCAGAGTTATTTCTGATATAACATCAGTGACTTAAAGGGCTGGATTTAGTCAGTTATGCCAATTGACTCCCCTGGGTAAGCTTCATTTCTTTACCTTCTATACATCTTGGACCGATCTGACCTGATAGCAAAAGACACATGATGTTGTTGAAAATGAAATACTGCCTTGGGGCAGAAGGATAAACTGTGGCCTCCTGAGGTCTTCCCAGCAATACTTTCTATAATTCTATTAGATTAAGTGGGGAAAGAAGTCGCGAGGAAAGCATAAAACAGGCTAAGTCATAAACTAGCAATTAAAGTGGGAGCTGGGCCGGGCTACAGCAGAAAACGTACAATCTATCCCAATTAAGAGCTGTATCTCAAGAGAAACCAGGAGCCTGATGCAGGTGCTGACAGCAGGGAAAACACTGCATTTCTGTTCTGTAGGCAGCAAATGCTTTCTACTGGTGCTTACCCAGATCCACGGGGGTCCATACCCTGCTCAGGACTGTGCTCTGCTTTTAGTAATTACTGTATCTATGATATTCAGCTGACAGCTGCTTGCAGTTGTTTTCTCATCTGCCTGTATAAAGCCAGCGGTCTGATGGCAGATCTCTATTAGTAGAAGGAAGATGTGTCTGTTCTTGACACCATCTGTTATGGGACCCCTCCCTCTCTCCCGCAGTTCACAGTCTTTCTTTTTCCATTTCATCTCCACTTCTTCATGGAGAATAGCTACCACTGCTTGTTTTTAGCAAGTCATTTTTCGATCTTGTAGATGATACTCTGTGATCCTGGGGCTAAGAGGCTTCTAGGACCTTCTGCAGCAGAGGTGGATTGCTAGCAGGAAATATTCAAGGGCCATGTTGGCCCCCTCAGCGTTTCTCATAGCCTGAGGGCAAATCATCTCTCTGCTTCTCGCATCCTATTTTCTCCTCCTGCTGTCATCTTGCCTTGAGAACAATGTCTTCTGAGCCACTTGCCCTTGGCTCTGTTGACCTGGAACAGCAAGGCTTGGGGGAGGGAGAAAGAAGAGAGCATCTCAGTCTCCAGTCCTTTCAGGTGTTGTGAACTCTGAGGTGCTATGACTCCTTGTTGAAATCACCTGACAGGTGGGGATGTTGCTCAGTCTAGAGTGTAATTTTCTGGCAGGAGACCCCCAGCTGAGTCCCAGCAGCCTCATCTCGGCTCTTCAGAGCTTGCTGCAGTATAACTTTCATAGACATGGGTTGTTCTCGTTCTGACTTGGAGCTGTGGTTGTTTATTGTTTTGTTTTGTTTTCACTCCTTGGGGGTCCTTCTCTCATTCTTCTGTCACAGCTTCACATATTTCTTCCCCTAGAGCTGTTTGTCAAGAAAAGTCTGGAATTGCTCTCTTTCCTGGTCTCTGAGATCAAATCCAAATTTGGCAATGTTTAAAAGGGAAATGTGACAGACCCTACATGTCAAACTGGGGTCAGGGATGGGGTCAGTTTAATGAGTTTCCCTCCAGCCAGATATGCATCAGTTGGAGAAATGTGGAGCCTGTTATCTTCCTGTACAAGTACTGGAAAAATATACGATGTGAAGACTTTTAGTCAGGGAGTGTGAGCAGATTAGGTACATAGGCAGAAGTGGTGAGCTGCTGTGCCTCAAACAGTGGAAATGAAGGAGCAGTAGGGGAATAGGAAAGAATAGGAATGACTAGGGTCTATATTCCTTCATGAAAAGCCCAAGGGATTTGCAGAGGGAGAGTGGGAAATGTGGATGGAAAGACCTAAGGCTTTTTCTGGCTTGTAGAGTTATGTACGGAAATTAAATGAGAGAAAACATAATTTATGCTTGAGCCGTTGAGGGAAAACAAGGATACAAGATAGTGCTGGATGACACTGCAGGTTGCAGAACAGGTGGTAAGAATAAATAACTGGATAGAAATTTGCAGGACTGAGGTCTCCTGGTCGAGGTTGGTTTGGGGAATTCAGAGCCATGATGAGTAAGGTCAGTGGCAACCATGAGTTTAGGTTCAAGATAAAGGGTTTGCAGTAGACAAAGGCAGGTTGGATTAAAGCCTGTGTGACAGAGTTGATGCTGGAGTTATGCAGCAATCGTGAAAACCCATAATAGTAAGCCTAGAGTAGCATGGGGAGATAAACACAGCAAGCTGTGATGCACTGAGGATCATATTCAGGGGAGACTGAAAAAAATTAAATTAAAAAAAAATAGACTACAGACTCTATTGGTCTGAAAGGGTGGAAAAATGTGGAGAGATTGGAAATTCAGGTTGAGTGCAATTCTTTGATAGGATTTCTGAGTGCAAGGAAAGAAACACCTATAATTACTGCCTGCAAATTTTTGTATTATTTAAAAAGACAAAAAAAAGGTTAGATTCTTTTAGCAGAAGCTAGGGTGATACGCTTGCTTAAACCTCTTTTTTTCCTGGGGGGAGAGGATGGAGAGACTAACATATAAGCTTACTCATAATTGTGCTGCACCATATATTATGTCTGTCCAGTCAGAGAATGGAAAGAGAACCTTCATCTCATTTGACATTTGACCAAGCAAAAGTGACCACTAGAACTTCAGAATTGACATTTCACAACAGAAACTCCTCGAGACCAGCTAATAGAGCAGAGGGCCTCCTGAAAATATCAGTATTAACCTCAAAAAAGTACAAAATGCAATGTGTATGTGGTCAATGTAAAGCAGATAGAAATCACCCTGTTTGTGAATTTGCTACTAACTATAATAAAAATGCCTTTAGCTGCGAAAGAGTGGAATTTCTTTTCTCTCTTGGTTTCCTTTCACTTTTGCTAATCAATTTTAATTCTTGTGAAGCATTGCTTGCTCTTAGTGTCACAGTTGTGTGTGGCCACTGTGTGCTATTTGTAGGTCTTTGATTTTGTGATGTTGAACGGCTTCAGTGTGGAGGCTGAAACTGGAAGTGTTGGAATTCACGTTGCAGCTGAAGCATCAGGCATAAAATGCAGAACAGTATGCCTAGGAAAGACCATTTACAAGGTTAAGATAATGCTTTTCAGTGCTGTTGTCAGCAGAGAGGCATCAGGCTGAAAGGAGCAGGAAAATGTTAGATGGATTAGGAATGCTGGTAGCTTATGAGCAGGAAACAATTGTCATTTATTGGAACCGAGTTAGATGTGATGCTGCAAGTCTCTGAATGCAGATATCAGGGGAGGTATAAGGGAGCTTTTTTGGGACAGGGTCATGAAACTGGGAAAGGGCAGGAGGACATTGCCAGTATGGACACCAACAGAGTAATGTACCTTTTTTTGTCCTCTCTAGTTTCTGCACCCACTCAGGCCTGGGGCTATTTCCTTTAAGTGGACTGAGTCCTTGCTGTTGATGGCCCTTCTAGCTGAGACTACCAGTAGGGTGGCATCCCTCTTCACCTAGACAGAAGTGATCACTGGATGCCACTTGGTTCACAACCATTTGATTCCTCTGTACTGTCCATGCCTCTAGCCTATGAACAGTCCCAGGAGGTCTGATTGCTGCTTGTAGCCCTACATCCCCACAACTCTTCTATGCTTCCTATGCTAATGCCCCTCTTCCCCCTATTACCTTCAGACTCCTTAAATCCTCACACGTACTCAAGTTTATGAAGTTATACGCCGATGTCAAGAAAAAGAACTGGTCTTCCTATCCACTACTACCATCTCTTGCCCCTCTCTTCTCCATCTGGTGCTAGGGTAGAGCTTGTTCATCCAGCTAGTTCTGGCACAAAACTGAACTGGTATGGGAGTGAGAGAGCTGTGCCCATGTTGGATGTGTCTTCCTTTGCGGGTGAGGGGCATCTGAAGCAGGCACCCTTTCCTCCTTTTATTAGACTGCTCTCATTTATTACACCATCTGTTTTCCCAGTGCCAGAGATGATGCTGGGGATATGTGACTTGGGGCACTCAGGCAGAAACTGGCCTGCACAAGGCCAGCCATGTGTTTGCCTCCTAGCAATGCAGCGGTCAGCAGCAAATTCTTTGCCGCCGCCTCCTCTCAGTATGGGAGAGAGCAAGCGTGGGCCTGGGTGTGTAGGAGACACAAAGAGATAAAATATGTGAAGGAGCAGGGGGAGGCACGGGAGGGACGTGGACTGGGGGTACATACGTATCAGCTAGAGAGAACTGTGGGAAGGAAGGACAGACAGACAGATGGGCAGAGTAGGGGAGAAGGCAAAAGGAATGGATTGTCAGGAGGGTAAGAAAGAAGAACTGGGAGGGAGACAAAGAAATGGGCTGGCTGGGGACAGTGAGAGCAAGGCTGAGAAGGAAGGGCAGGCAGGCAGAGTTGTCTGATATGTAGTGGGGAAAGAGAGAGGTGGATTGTCTGTGGGAGAGCCAGGTCAGCCAGGTACTATGGTAATAGGTAACTGGATAACCAGAGATGGAGATGAAGCGACTGCTTGTGTGTCTGTGTTTGTATATGCCTGTGTAGGGGAGAACTGAGTGAATGACAGGGAGGGAGAACAGCCATAAGGAGAGAGGAAAGAGATAAAGCCGAGCTATAAGAAAGAGCAAAAGAGCAAATCTAGAGATAAAATGTGGGAAGAAGAGAGATGTGGGAAGGCAAAGCAGCCCTCAGAGTGCAAATAAGAGTGGAGATATGGTGGGAGAGAGGAGGGAAGCTCTTAGGAGAAGGGAAACTAAGAGTGCTAGTACTAGTATTCAGGGCTGAGGTTCTCTTACTGGGACCTGAGAGATGATAGAGGGCAGAAATACAAGCATGACTACGTAAGACTAAAAAGAAGCATTTTCTTATACATAGGGCTTACTGCCAATGCACAGAGACCCAGTGGACCTGGGAATGTAAATGCCACTGTTCTAGTGCAGGGTTTTTCCTGCTTGCTGAACTGCAATGTACCTGAGCATCTGCAACCTGTGGACTGCCTATTTCCAGTGCTTGACTGCTAGGAGCTGTTTATGATGGCAGGTCAGACATTTATTTATAATTTTTTTCTCCTTCCTCTTGCCTTTTTTCCTCACAGTGTATTCTCAATGGAAAAAGAGACATGAAAAAAAAACAGTGCCCAAATTTATAGGCACCTTCTTGGTTCTTCTGCCTCATGTCATAGACACTAACTTTGCTTTGCTGCCTGACTCAGCCAGCACCCCTCTCTTTGACCATTTCTTTTCTGTCCCTTGCTGTGTCTTTTTCATCTCCTTATTTATGTCTTCCTTCAACTTTCTGCCATTTTCATGTTATACTCTTCCCTCTAACTTCATTTATTATGTTCTAGGCTTCTAGGTTATGTGCATCCCCTTGTTGTTTCTGCTTATTCCTTCTAGTTGCCCTGTTCCATTTCTTTTGCTCCTTTTAATCTCTTCCTGATTCCTCCATCTCCTCCTGTCTGTGCCTGTCTGCTGGCTTTCTCTCACTCTCTGTCTGTCTCTTTTGAACTGGGTTGTGAATTCTGTCGGCATCAGAGTGGGACGAACTGTAAAACTGAGGTTCCCAGAGGGCCAGGTTGTGATCATTTTATTTTTACAATGTCCTTGGATGTATAAAGGTGTTTGTTTGAGGGGGAGGAGCAGTGCATGTGCTCCGTGTGGGAGAATAGAGGGGAGTGCAGGCCAGAACGAATGAAGCTTGAAACTAATATAGGTCAGTTGCAGAGAAAGTCCCAGTGGTCTGTGAAGCAGAGAAGTGATTTGACACTTCAGACTGGCTACTGGAAAGATGGCAACTGAGCAGTTTTATCCAAATGACGCAAGCAACCTGGAAAAGTGTCCTGTGAAAGAGTGCAGGAGTGGTGAGCATGGGAGAGTGCCAAGCCCTGCACAGGCTCTGCTTCTCTACAGTCACCTCCTTAATGCAGGGAATAACCAACCTGAAATTCCATATTCCTGCCTCTGAGCTGTCTTCTGCTATGTGCATCCATCTGACCCCTGCATGGAATGGGGAACATGGTGGAGATACGCCTCACCGTGCCCTCTTCCAGACCTGCTCACCAGGTCAGAGCTGGCAACAACAGAGCAAAGAGATTAGTGGAGAACCAAGAAAGGCTGTACCCCCAAACCCTTGGAGATGTGTGGCCAACCTCTGCCGAGGATGGTGCCGCAAAGAAGCCTCACACCACCAGCGGAGATGTCACCAAGGCTCTGAGCCTGGCCTGGTTAAGCTGGAAGAACCAAGTGCTCTCCCTGGCACTGCTGGGAGTTGATTTGCTCTGCGTAAGAGTCCTCACTTGCCATGATTTTCCACAGACTGTAAACACTGCTCTCAGACCTTTCCTAGAAAATTTTACAAGTGGCTACTAGCTGCAGTGAATGATTGAAAGTGGCAAAACCTGATGAGTAACTTCTGATTTCATTTCTATTAAAAAATTTTTGTTGATATAAGAGTCATCTGTTAAGATGACATTTAGATATCAAAACAGACATCCAGATTTTCGGAGTCATTTGGAGCCTCTTCATATCTGTAAAATCAATGTGAGATACTGGCTGCTCAGCATAACTGAAAATCAGGGCAGTTCTTCAATGTCTAAACATGGACTTAAAAGCCTAGATACACATGTGTTTTGCTTTCTTTTTAAAATAGGCCTCCATTCCCAAGAAAAGGAATGTCACCTCTCTACAGCTTCTGTTCACATACATTTTTCTGTGCATCGTCATAACACTGTGGTCCAGCATCTGACTGTCTTAACTCAGTGTGTTTAACCTAATTCCTGGATGGGAATTCACTCTCTGGATCCTAAACAATTATAGAAGTAATTCAAAACCAAATCCTAGGAATTAATTTGATGGCTCTGTGTCCACAGTACACCTACTGGCTTTCAATGAAACATTATCTAAAGTACATGCACCTTTCACGAGATGTCTCCCTGACAATAAAATGCTACAAAAAGAAATCCTCCCCATTTTAAAATTAGTTGCCTGTTATCACTGATGTCAGTGGAACCCTGTGATTATGAATTTTCTAAGATCCCCTACTTGTGGAGCTCTCAATTACGTGCTGGGATACATGTTTCCCTTGATTTGTCCCCCTGAAAAGTCAGAGGGATGATATGATCTATCCCAGAGGCTAACCATTTTTCTTAATTTGCTTGGGATGTTCTTTCAAGAGTCTTTTTTAAATTCTGGTTTTTGTTTTTTCATTGAACATCAGAGAAATTAGGAGTGTTCCTTCCATCATACCCTAAGCTATGTCACAGAAGAAGAACTAAGGATGCCCTAAAGATGACAATTGATTGTACAGCTCCTTTGCAGAAGGATTACCTGTGTAATTACCTTCAGATGTAGAAGAGCAAGTTTGTCCCATACAGAAAGCCTCAGCAATGCCTCTGTGGCTGTTGGGGACCAGAGGCAAAAGCTTCAGACTGTGTTCAGACTGAGCTGTGGCTTTAAATGAAAATGCTGAATAGATGAGGCTGCATAGGATGCTCTTTGTCCTCATCTGCGCCCTTTAGGCTGGTCTGATATCAGAGAACATTGATCAAGGTCAACACGAAGCATCCTCACTGTAGGCCTCACCTTTCCTCCAGCATTTATCACTGTGCTGATATTTCCAGGAAGCTTCCAAAAACCTTCAATTCAGAAAAAAAGAAACCCAACAACTTCTCTTTCTCACCTTATTCTTTACTGTTTTCTGATTACTGCTATGTTTACATGAAAACAGGCTTTTTTCTTCTTTAAGAGTCAAACCGCAGCTGCTGCGTATTTCCTCACTGGAATTTTCTATACCTATTTGTCAAGAAATGATGGCTTTTTTAACCCATGGATTCTGAGCAGTAGAGACCATCCCTGATTATGAGAGGTGGGTCTGGTGTGAATTCTGGTGATAGCTAATTGATGGATGGACAATGGATTTATTATGAACAAGACCAAGATATTTGTGCCCATATTTCGTGTAGTTCTAGTGAGACACATTGCTCTATGATCTATTCTGAAGACCTTTTCCCTTGTGTCTTGACTTTAAGCAGATTCTGCTATATTCTTTTCACTAACTTTTTGTGAGGAGTGTGTGACTCAGCTCGGGTTTTTTTCTCCTCTTATTTGTATCCTTTCACTCTGCTTTTCAGGCATTTGTTTATTCAGGTGTCAAGGCTCTGTACCTCTTTGCCCTGTTTCCTGGAATATGCTTCCAGGACTGGAAGTATATGGATATCTGTGAGAACTGTGTATGCCTGAATTTGCATATGGATGGAAAAACAAAATAAAACAAAACAAAGATTTAGGTGAAGAATCTAAGCCTACAACAACAGAGCAGGAATGGCATATGAATAATCAGGCCTTACACTGGATTTCTATGGGACATAGTTTATCGGGGAGTAAAGGTGTGTAGAGGAATGCATATTTTTTTTTACACACAGGATGGGCCAGCACGAAGGTAGACTCGAATTATTTCTTAAGTGCAGAATAGTGTACACTCTGGAGTGGAGAATTATGAGGGACAGCATCTGAGTGAAGAGGATAGTGTCTTTAGTTTAACACGGGCAAATACATGGAATAGACATTCTGATGAGGTGGGGAGTTTTCCCACAACTAATTGTCTGTTTTAGTCATATTCAGTAAGTTTACATGTGTATGCATATATATCCTCACTGAAGATACTTTACCAAATACTGTAATTCCAGCTAGAGTGACTGGTTAGCAGCCTGCCCTCTGTTACAGTTAATGGGTTGCAGGCATTGATTTTTTGTTTCTATTCTATTGATTAGGAGGCTGCTGTCCACACAAACCTCAGCACAGCATGGAAAGGGAAAGAGAGGCAAAACAGTTCTCATCCCAGCAATTCATCATGGTGGAAATGTCATGCTAGCAGTCCCAGTCTTCTCTCACTATCCCTTTCAAATAGAGAAGGACACCTTTCCTTTTTTAATAATTCAATGCATAAGGCACATGAGGTTACCATTCAGTGGAAAAAAACAATGTGTGAGACAAGGGAATCTTGCACTGGAAGCATAGATGCTTTAGTTTCAAGACTCAGTGTGCAACTTTGGACAACCATTGATATTCAGTTCATTTATGACAACACTCAGATCTCACTAATATCAGTGCATAGACTTTGGCTTTGGTGGGGTTTGTGATCTCAATGCCTCAGTGCCTCCACAAAGTTATTCAAGTGTTACATTATAAGAGTGTTTTATGGATAAATGATTTTTATTTTTTTTTTGCAAAGTATTTGTCTTAGACAAGGATATACGTGGAGGGAGCTACGTACTACATCCTTATACTCTCACACTTGGTCCACTTGTATCTAACGTATTTTTTTATGCACTCTTGGGATAGCCCCAGCATCACTTTTGCAGAGAGACTTCCTCAGTTTATCTGTGATACCTCTGTACCGTGTCTCCTTTTTTTTCTCCTTCTGATCATAGTGTTATGCTAGAGATGAATTTCATATAAGCATTCAAATATTTGGTGTTTACACTGTCTTTTATGTTGATCCTCAACTTGAAAGACCTGAAGTTAAGGAGAGAGGACCACTGAGGATTTGTACATCTGTATTTATCTCTCTATCATCTCCACATGTGATTCTTGGACAAAGCACAAATTTTCTTCTTTCTTCAGTTTACTAGTTTGTTAAATTGGTCTAAGAATACCACCAGCATGCAGATATGATGTAAATAATGTTTCTTGCATATTTTGGGTCCCCCAGCTTTAGATGCCAGTGATGACTGCTCTGATCTCCCTCTCTGCTTGTCTAAACACATGGATATGGGGTTTTTTTCAACCTTCTCCAGTGAAACTTTTTAAATATGAATTCCTTTTCTGGATCAGATCTCACTTCTATCTTTCTGCCCCATTGGTTTTCAGTTTTCTAATCATCACTCTAACCCCAATTTATTTTTTCTAACATCTCCTCTGCTGTTGCAGCTGTCTATTAACACCTCTGCTCTGCCTGCAAATACAACTGCATCAACTCCATCTCTTTTACATCTCATTACAGCAGCTCCTTCTGAGATGGCCTGCCCAGTATGAAGATTCCTCAGTACCAAATTGCTGTCTGATTTTATCCTGAGCCCAAAATCTCCACTGCAGCACTCGATCCAGAGACACTCTATTCACTTCCATTACCATCCCATGGAGTTGCTTCCGACTTCATGCCCTTCATCTCCCTTCCTTATCATTCTTGTGCCCCTTTCTTTCCTACAGCACTGCCCCTTCTCTCCACAAATAGCAGCACTCTTGGTTTGCCATTGGAAGCAGACTTCCTGCGGCTCCTTGTCTCATCAGCTTCTCATTTCAAGTAATTTAAAATGTAATTTAAAATCTCTCTATTTCCTCCAGACTATTAATTTCTCTCTCCTTACTCCTCTATAGATGTCATTCTGTGTTGCGCTATTCGGTAAGATGCGACTGTTGTAAAATTCTGCCACAGTGTTTTTAGTCTGTAGTCTTGTTTTGTATTATCATTTTTAATGATTCTTTGTAGGAAAGATGAAATCTCAGCACAGCATCTAGCCACAGCACAAGCAGTCACACAGGACATTCTGGCATTTGCATTGCTTTTGTTCCGTTCTTCTCCAGCAGCATTTAGAACAACTGTAGAGGGATTATTGCGAATGGTTTAAGAGGATATAAGTAGGGTAGCAGGAAGAGAATTATTTCTGAAAATTGGGAAGTGTGAGGCAGGAAGTCACCTTTAGTCCTGATCCTGAGACATAATGAACCATCACAGGACCCACTGCTCTTAGCCAGAGATTAAAAGACTCATTGTTCTGCAGGCCTGGCCTTCTTATACTGGCAGTTTCTTTGGGGAGAATGTGTCCCTATCTTGTTGCTGGAGTCATTTGAAATCAAACTTGCAAAATCTGTAGAAATACGTAATAAAGGCAACAGTTACAGATTAGTTTGAGGGCCTCTGTTTTGGCCCAGCTTCTGCTTCATCCTCTGAAATTATCTGAATTAGTCAAATGTAAAGATAAGTAATCCAGCAGTTCCTGCAGTATTTTTCTAATTACAGATGAAATCTGCGAATTCTCTCTGTGTTGGGATGCCTTGCAAGTCCCAGTCTACAACTTCCACAGCGGCTGTTCACTCACTCTACTTGTCACGCTCTACTCAGTTACCAACAGAAGCTACCAAAAGACAGCTCCCATTTGTGCAGCCCCACACACCCTGATCTGAAGGAGCCTTCCAATTTGTCACAGTGAAATAAACACTTAACAGCATGGGGTGCCCAGGGGAGCCCTCAGTGAAAATATACCTTCTCTCCCTATCCTCTTTGAATGACCCTGCTGTTTGGGCACAGGTGAGGTTCTTGTAAGGCCTGAGTCCCTTCTGCTTCCACTCATTCCAGCCAGGATGCTTTGTGACATTACTGGGAGAGCTGTATTGCACTATTTTGAGAGCACAGAGTAATTGAGGAGCCTACTTTGCTTGGAGAGATTTCCAGTGTGGCTTTCCCTTCCATGTATTCAGTTGATGCCTGATGGATTTTAGTGCCAACACAGTCTGCTGAAATTTTTCCTCTTCAGTCTTCTAGGTTTCTGGCTGAAATTTTCTGCTTTCCTTTGAATAATAGAACCTCAGTGGTGGGATGGAGAGTAGTATCACCAACACAAAAATAAATGGCTCAGAACCATCAGAATGGCACATTCATCCCTTATCCTTTCTTCTTTCAGCAGAAAGCATTCAGGAGTGAAGGAGAAGTCCTAGGGTGTTCTTGTGCAGCTTCCCCAGCTAAAAGCCTTAGAGGACCTCCACCTCATCTCAAGCTACCTCTGTAGAGCTATAATCTCCTTCCATTTTAGGGGGACTCTGTATCTCTTCACCCTTCATTTGAACCAAGGCCAGCAGTTTAGAGAGCCTGCCCTCAGTTACCATGCTCACCACTATTCCAGCAACCTGAAATACATTAGCCCACAAGGGCCATCTCCTCCCTTGCCCATCCTCAGCTGTTTGGCAGCTCCATGAGTGCAGAGAAAAACAACAACAACAACAACAACAAAACCCCAAACAACAACAACAACAAAAGCACAAACAAACAAGCATAAAAACATTTTCTGAGAGAAGAAGGCCAGGACCCCCCCCAGATGAGGCTAGGAACTGTGGTTGTCCCCCAGCAATGTATTAGTGGGCTCACCCTGCACTGTCACCTGCCTCATCCCCCATCCCTTCTGCCTCCTCAGGACCTGCTGGTAACAATCTGCGTACGGCTGATGCCACACACCATCCGTGCTTGCTGGTAAAGTCCCGTCATGTACTCAGCTCCCTGCTGAACAGAGGAAATGCTCAGCTGCCCTTTGTGCCCCCTCCTCTCCTGCTGCTTTCCATAGAGTCCTTCATGTCCAACAGTCCTGGGGGAGATTGTCCTGGAACCCAGATTGCACCCAGAGAAGGACAATGGAAGAGATAAATGGAGTTATGAAATTACAGTGTGGCTGAAGCCCTCCAACTGGTTCAACTACCCGGCACCCCCTCCCCTCAGCCCCTTAATTCCCCTAGAAGAGCAGTGAACCTAATGCAGCCCTTCTGCTCTCTTACACCGAACAATGAATCTGATCAGAGTGAAACAAAATCGGAAGCATCATGAATTAGATGATTTCTTTTCTTTATGATTGCTGCATTAATGAGCAGCTACATGTATAGAACGAGGAGGTGACTAATGTAATTAACCTGATGTAATGATACTGCTGAGGAAGGGAGAGACAGTTATGACATACTAAGATGTTAGCATTGCACAATTTTATATACATTCTCGGTACTATCAGGTTGTGTCTGACACAAAAACTTAAGCGCTGATAGATTTCAGTCTGCATCCATTCACTTCATGGATCTTTCTGTGGAAAATGAGGATTGAAATGTGGAATACTTTCCAGGGCTGGGGAAGAGGAATTCAGTTTGGTGGTCCCTTTCCTTAGCAAAATTACAAGAAATAACAAGTAATAACAAGAAATCGACCTTTCTTGTGAAGAATCTTCCCAAAATGTCTGCTGCTTGAAGCAAGCTATGGGATTTCACAGAAAGCTACGAAGAGAAAGTCAAAATGCAGGGATTCACGCAACATTGGTCAGGGGGAGACAGAGGGACGGAAAACGAGCAACACCAAAACATATGCAACTTGCAGCAAAGCTGAGAAGAGTGAGAAGCAAGCACTTAAAAATAATAACGACAACAAAAATAAGAGAAATAAATGCTTGTTTTTAAATTACCCTTCCAAGTTACATGTCACCCGTCTCCTGGGGAGAGAAAACGGCTGCCTGAAGTTTTGTGCCGGTCTAACTGCAGCGTGTGCGGGTTGTGCTTGCCGCCCTGGGCACGTATGGCGGGGATGCGAAGGCAGCTGAGCCGGGGGGCGGAGGGGGGTGCGGGTGGGGGCGAAAGGCTGAAAGGCAGAAAGAGGGAGAGCCCCAGCTACGCCTTCCCCCGGGCTCCGGCAGCCGGGGGGAGCAACCCAGCCTGGGGCTGGCAGCGGCGGGGTAGGCACAGGGAGGGGGGAGGCTACCCCCTCCGCCCCTCCCTGCCTGCCTGCCTGCCTGCCCGCGCAGAGCGAAGGAGGGCGGCTGCCGCCCGCGGATGCTGGGGCGCGGGCAGGGCGGGCGGCGCGGGCGGCGCGGGCAGGGGAGCTGTCCTTCAGCACCGCGGGCCGCGGAGCGCCGCTCCGGCACTGCCGCCCGGGGAGCTGTCCTTCAGCACCGGGGGACCGGGAGCGCTCCTCCCGCGCCGCGGACCGGGGAGCTGTCCTTCAGCACCGCGGGCCGCCGCCGCCGCGGGGGAGCTGTCCAGCGCCTCGCCGCCGCCTTGATGCAGTAGCGGGGCCCAGGAGTCGCCGGGGGCCGCCGCGGGGCAGGGGGTGCCGCAGCCGGACGCCGCTCCGTGCCCCCAGCCCAGGAGAGCGTCCCCCTCCTCCCCCAGGAGCCCCCCTCTCTCCTCGCCCACCTCCGCCGGGAGCGAGCGCCGCGGCTGTGCGGAAAAGCCATGGGAGGCAAGACCTCGGCACCTGTTCAGCTGAAATCAAGGGCTTACAGTATACTGGGCAGTCTGGCTTGGTGGTAGGAGCGAACGAAAGGAAGGAGAAGCGAGCAAGAAAAAGTGAGAGAGGATTGGAGCGACTGCCGCTGCCGGGGGAAAAAAAAATAAAAACCCAAGGAAGATAACTGGGAAGGAAAAGGATTTTCATGGCGCAGGCTGCAGAGCTAAGCAAGAAGACTGAAGGTTGCATCTCTGCTCTTACAGTCTCTAACTGTCTAGGTCCAGATAATGAGAGATTGTGTTGAGGATGCTGCTGCTGCTCCCCTGTTCACTGTGGAAGCCATCTCCAAATTAGCCATTACATATGGAAACTGGAGACCAGAATTTTAGAAAAAGGGATTAAGGCGTCTCGTTTTGGGGGGGGTTCTCTCTTTATTTGTTTGTTTTTTTCTTGGTTCTTTTGTCTCTCTTTTTTTTTCTTTTTTCTTTTTCCTTTTTTTATATTTCAACCAGAACGTTTCCGATTTAAAAGGCAAGCCTGTTCCCGTGTGGTCTTTCTAATTTACACTCTTTTCCGTGGGCTTTCTTACCTCTCTTTTTTGATATCTATCTCTCTATATATACCCATTATATTATTAGTCGGAATTATTATTCTTTTATTTTATTAAACACACACACCCCAAGAATCAGAAGGCGGTTGGGTATTTGTATAATGAAGAATTATGGGGCTCTTTGACAGAGGTGTTCAGATGCTTTTAACCACCGTTGGTGCTTTCGCTGCCTTCAGCCTGATGACCATAGCTGTGGGGACCGACTACTGGCTTTACTCCAGAGGGGTTTGCAAGACTAAAACTGTCAGTGAGAACGAAACCAGCAAAAAGAACGAGGAAGTCATGACCCATTCTGGATTATGGAGAACCTGCTGCCTGGAAGGTATTTGATTCTGGATCTCCACCCCCCGCACCCCCCTCACTTTCCTCTCCCCCTATCCCATACCCCCCCCCCCCCCACTACTCCCAGTAAATCCCTTCACATTCCACCATTTTCTAACTTCATTCCTTCCACCACAATTGAGAGTGGTGGGCTTAGTTACGTGGGGCACGGAGGCAAGAAGACAAGAAAATTATTCTTTGCACCTTTGCGTTCCCTTTTTCCCTTCCTCAGCCTCTGCCCTACACTCTCCCCAGAATTTTACTCCCCCCCTTCTGACGGGAATAATATGTGTCTTACAAAAACACCAAGACACCCTTTCAGAAAGCAACTACGTGGTCTACCTGTCTTCAGATTGTTTGTATTGCCTGGGAAAGCAATGCCAAAATGCTGTGTTATTGCTGTGCTCCGTCTGCAACCACAGAGTGAAATAATTTGTCTCTTTGCAAATGGCTTATTTGCAAAGACTAACTGGGAGTGAGGGGCAATGTGGGGAGGAGGTGACTGCAAAGCAATTCAGATGCAATTATTGGTTCACTTTAGAAAGGAAAAAAGAGAGAATGGGAAATAACCCTGCTATGTCCAAAATGTCTCATATGGTAAATCTGGTGATTCCAGTCCTCTCGAGCAGAGTTCAGAGCATTTCATAATGTCTGTGAGCAACCACATCTTACTGGGCTGGGTGCAGGGGGGTCTATTTGGCACCTGATTGGTTTGTTTTGGGGCTGGGATCTTTCCCCCACTTGTTTGTTATTGGGGTAGATTTTTGTTTGGGGGCTTTTCTTTAAGGCTTATGGTAGAAGCTAAAAATAAACAAGTGTCTGTGTAGAAAAATCAGCCTAAGTCTTATGTGGTGAAACTGCACAGCAACTCAGTGACATGTCTGATGGCAGAAAAGCCACTGCCGCAGCCAACTTCTGGAATCAGACGTTCCTAAGGGAGGGGGAGAGAAGCGAGGGGCCAGCGGTTCACTTTTAAATATGTGTTGCTCAGTCCTGCTGTTGGCATACATATGGGCTGGGGAGGTGGACTGCAGCTGGTGCTGGAGGAGTAGAGGCTACCAATGTAAATGCGTGGTTTTCTGTTATACACGTAGCGAGAAGGAGGGAGCGAGAGCAAGGCAGCGCACATTGCAGCCTGGTATCAAAATGCTGCTTATGAATCAGCCCCCGGCCAGAGAGTGGGCTACGGGGGCTGATGGGTGCCTGCGGATAACGCCTGGGTCTGCTAGTGCCCCCCAGAGCTGGGTGTGCCTGGAGCTCCCTGATGGGCAAGAGGGGAAGCAGGTACCGCAGGAGTGATTTTCTGAGAGTGCACTGGGAGATGCAAGGCAGGGGGAGGGGGAATAAACTGTGTATGTCCTAATGTCTCCCACCAAAGCAAGCTAAAGCTGCTGTTTAGAAATGGTTGTGTCCGGGAAGAAGAGCAAATTTCTCCCCCGTTCTTGGTGCAAACGGTTGAGTGATGGCTGGACATGTTTTGAATAGCTAAGTGACTTCATTGAGCGATGGTCTATTTGACGCATACTGCATTTAGTGCCCTTTGTCAACCCAAACTGCTGCCTTTTAACATATCCTGCAGAGGAGCTCTATGCTGAATACTATATGCTGTCTCCACGCCAGAAAATCAATAGCAGTAAATTAATGGGGGATGTTTTAAACACACTCACTCGCGCACATGCACGCATTTCCTCCAAATAGATAAATATATGGAGATATATATTAATAAAGAATGAAAAGCCTTTCACATAGCTATTCATTACAACAGGGTAGAGAGACATCTCCTTAATTAAAAATTAATGAGAGAGGAGGCAAAAAAAAAAAAAAAAAAAAAAAAAAAAAGCAAGCCCAAAAGCAAAGCCATGTGAGGAGGGAGGCAGGCTGCAGGGAGAACTCCCCTCATGAGCTGCGTCCCCGAGCCAGAGGGCAGAGGGAGGCTGGGGAGGAGATAAGAGGTGTGAGGACCCTGGCCAGTAGTGGCAGTGGATTCAGATTATGTCCATATGCCCATACAGCCAGATCCAGAGGGACACAATCAGAGGAGGAGGAAGAAGGGGTGGGTGAGGTTTGTTGGATTGGAAGATCTCAAGGCTCCTTCTCATTTACATCCAACGGGACCCCATAGGGACTGTGGAGAAGTAGTTGCGTGATAAGGCAAAGTGTCAGGATGCTCTGTATCAAAGGTTCCAAAGTGCTCCCAGCCCCTCCCAGTGCCATCTTGGTCCCCTGCCCATGCTCTCATGCAAAATCAGACTGCAACCCTACACAAGAGCTGGGAAAGGTAGCAAGACAGATGGGATTCTCTTTTGTCCCCACCACAAATGGAAGAGCCTGGTTGACTCCCTAAAACTGCTGGATGTGGGGCAGAAGTTGTAAGAGGGGCTGGAAGGTTCTAGGAACTGCCTGGGAGCAAGCCCTGCTCTGACCAGCCTGAGGACGCAGGTTGTCCCAAAACTTTGGGGTGAGCTAGGTAACAGGAGTTCCATGGCCATACACTGAGCACTGACATGGGCATGGCTGTGCCTCATGGCTGAGGATGCCTCTGACTGGCTCCCCTCATCCCAAGTCTGCATGGGCTGGTGGCTGTCACTCCTTAATCCCAGAATGGCACAGCCAAATACCCCCAATAGACACATATGAGAAGGCCACTGGGCAACCCCCAGATGCCATATCTGATAAGCCAGAAGGTTGTCTTCCTTCTCAGCATAAGGAATCAGAAAGGTGCCTCTGATTCACTTGATCTCCCAAGTGAGAGTCGCAATCTGGGTGGAGAAGGGTGCTGCAGAGGCTCCTTGCCCCCATGGTGCATGGGTTAGACGGGTTTGGGAAGGGAAAGAGTTGCTCCCAAGGAGGCTCTGGAAATGGCCAAACCCTTGGAATCTGCTCACACCCTGCTCACAGTGTGGCAAAAATACCTGGAGAAGAGTGTGGGACAGAAATGGTGCAGGCCCATAGGGTTTTGAGAGTCAGCAAAGAGGAGGGTAAAGGAATATCAATGAGAAAATAATCAAAGAAGGAGCCAAAACAATCTTCTGCTAACAATAGGAAGGCTCTGATGAGGTTGACTTCACTTTGGGGGACATAAGGGAATGCTAGCACTAGCCAGCACTGTAGGCTGTCAGAAATGGTGAACTCTTCATATTCCAATGCTGTGGTAAATTGTATTTCTTTATCTTGGCCAAGATATCCAATAGCAAAAAGGAACGTGGAGGCTCAGCCTGTACGCACAGATATGCTGCAACCAGTAAGCGAGTTCCCCTTGAACAATTTGATTCCTGGGCTTTTAGGACAATTTGGTTCCTGGGCTTTTAGGATTTTACGGTTCCTGTCTGTCCAGTCATTCAGCATTCTCAGCCAGTATCTTCACAGCTTCGTGTTGCTTCAAACAGCAGTGTCATTTTGGGCGTTCAGCTTCTGTTGGGATCCCTCCCCTCTCTTTCCTGCATCCTACAGGGAGCCCCTGTTCAACAGTGGGTCTGGAGCAGAAAGGTGATGGTGGTTCCCATTACTGCAGACCATGCTTCCAATTCTTTTCCTAGTCTTCCTTCAGATATTTCTCTCTAAGGCTTTGGAGTGCTTAAATGTGTACCTGAGCTGCTCAAAAATCTTTGCTCTACAAGAAAAATGGCAGAACCTACCTCAGCCCTCTGGCCACGTATATATGGAGTGTAAATGTACATCTGGCAGCTGAGACCCATGAGCTCATGGCACACAGAGGTGCTGCACCTCTTACAACTTTGAAATGGCTGCAGAGCTTCCAGCCTAATTCCTGCTTGGCACCAAATGCTTTTAAAACACTTTTTATTATGAGTGATGCCTTGTCTAATTCTTTCATTAGCTCCTGTAGATCTCCTACAGGATCTCAAAAAGTGAATGACGAAGCCTTATCAGGGTCTTATGAAGCAAGTAAATGAAATGTATTTTATATCTGTAGGTTATTGGTTTTGTCATGTTGTCATTATTATTAGGAAAGGGATAGGTACAGGAGGCTTTTATACTGAGAAGGAAGAGATTGGAGTACAGGGCAGGCAGGTATGAGTGATGTGCATGGGGTTAGACATCCCTGTAGATCTTACTGGTGTGAAGGCGAATAATTGAATGGATGTTGATGCAGAAAATAATTCCTGCCTAGAGACCCTTCCCAAGGAAAATAAATGAGCTGATCTGTTCCCTTTCCAGTTTGTTATATCTGAGCAGCGCATGAGAGTTAAGTGCAATTTTGGTGTTTGCAGAAACGAAAAGCTGACAGCAAGGCAAGACAAGGCAGGGCACAGGCGCTGGACGCAGTCCTGGTGCTGCGTCTCTTCCCCACACTGCTTCTTTCACTGCTGTGTGCTGATGGGCCACTTCTTTCCCTTCACATGATCTTATGAGCATTTCTTCCTTGTCTTCTCATCTATCTTTCACCCTTCATTTTCCTCATCCCTAGTTCTACCCTGCAGAGCTGCCCGCTGTCTTATTTCTATGGATCCACAAAGCTGGTGGGGTCCTTTCCCCTGTTTCTGTCCTACACCAGAAGATTTCTGAGGAAGCAGTGTAAATAGCAGTAGATTGAATGAGAATCCCCACGGTTGGCGGTGCAGGAGCATCCCAGAGCACAGCCCAGAGATGCAGGAGGCAGAGGTTCAGTGCCGCACTGCCTGCTGCCGGCATTGCCTCTGCCAGGCAGAGGGAGGATGCAGAGCTGCACGGGCCTGGTGTGAAGAGGGAGGCAAAGGATTTCCAGAAGTGGGGTGCAGGTGGTGAGGGGGAGGCACATGGGATCCCAGGCATGGGTGGGTTTAGTTCTCACAGGGCTTACATTCACACACCACTGGGATTAAATTCACACTGAGAGCTGGGGATTCAATGGGCTGAGACCTGCAAGCTCACTTCATTTCAGATTTGACAAGGAAATGCTGTTCCTTGCCAGCCAGCTGCTAGAACTGACTTATAAATTGTGTTTAAATTCTGGATCTCCCTACTGACAGAGAAAGAGGAATGGGTTAATATTGTCCTGAAATG